TGGATTATTCAAAGAAAAATAAAATGGTTCAAGAGATGGTGAGGGGGCCTGTTGCTACCTTGCTTGAAGCATCTAAGCAGGGGCTGAATGGCAAGGTATTGGAATTGCTATTAGCTTAACTGATAAACAACCTCTAGTACTCTTCAAATTCTAGAAGTCTTTAAATTGTGAATCCAGTATTTTTGCTCTTGGACATTTCCTCAGTTAAATAAATGATTATTGAGCATTTGAAGTTAAAAGCAAACTACCCAGAGATTCATCATCTGAGAGAACTAGACTCTGAAAAATATGGTATGTGGTTTAATACAAACATTTCAGCCATGTTATTTGAGTTACATGGTAACTTAAGTTATATAACACTGTTTACACTTTAATATCTTATAAATATTCTTCCAGTCTTCATCTTTTTAAAAGCATTTTTATGCCAGACACTACAGCTCATGTTTGTCATCCCAACCCTATGGGAGGCCAAGGCAGGAGGATCACTTGAGCCCAGGTGTTCAAGACCAGCCTAGGCAGCATAGCTAGAACCCTTCTCTAAAAAAATAAAATTAAATTAAAATAACTTTAAAAATTAGCCAGTCTTGTGGCAAACCTGTAGTCCCACCTACTTAGGAGGCTGGGGTGGGAGGATCAATTGATCCTGGGAGTTGGAGGCTGCAGTGAGCTAGGATCACACCACTCCACACCAGCCTGGGTGAAAGGGCAAAAACTTCTCTCAAAAAATAAAATAAAAGCATTTTTATAGTATACTTTATTTCCTGAGCATTCAATTCACTGTGTGTGTGTGTATCCATGTGTACACATGTGTTGTGAGCAGGTAATGAAAAAAGCAGCATTTGGAAAACATTCTTTACCAAGGTTTACCTAGAAATAAACTATTTATAAGTAATATTCATTAATGAGATTTAATAGAATGTCCAACAATAAGAATACTTGTTAATATTTCAAAACAGCATATAAAATATAATTGGCATGTATAAATAATTCCTTAAAAGTGCATATTTTCATACTATTAGTCAAATATTGTGGTTTGAAATGAAACACCTCCATGGAGTGAGTTTGATAGAGCTGATTGAAAGTGCAGCTGCTAATTTGGGCCCAAAATCAGCATTAAAAATGTGCCATTATACGTATTTTCCTGCTATGATGAATAACAAAATAGAAGATAGTGTTCTATTGTAAATCACACTCACAAAAAGGGAGATTCTTTTAGCATGTTTGAAAAGTTGCTATTGAGATAGTATACACAAAGGATTACAACATCTCAAAAAGACAGTAATCAAACATGATTAAAAGTTGCGATTACTGCTACAATTTATACATTATGTCAATAAGATGTCTTAGCCATGACTTTTGCTATTTGACAGACATTTATAATACCTTTAGTGTATCTGGGTATATCAGTCTTGCTGTGTTTATTTCCATTTGTTTCATCAATCAAATTTTCAAAATAAGAATGCTTTTGTGACTTATCACTACCAATGTGACTGATAACCTCTTTCATATAATATAAGAGTTATATTTGACTTTCATGTTTAAAAACAACAGGTTATAGAACTCAATGTTTGGTGTAGTACCCACAAATATTTTAGCTAGGGTAACAATCCTTAAGAGATTCACATTTTATAGAAAATAACATACAATTACAAAATAAAATTTTCTTAGCAAATAGAGCTGTGAAGTGAATTTTATATGTTTAAAAATTATTTTCTCAGTAACTGCTGGCTTTACAAATAAAATTGGATAGGGGATTTATGTTGGATAAGAGACTTTTTGTAGGAACATCGGATGATTAGTCAAAAGAGAAAAGACCAAAGCTTTGCACAATCTAAATGACTGAGCCAATCATCCACAGGAAGACCCCAAGCCCTCAGAACCAATCCTTTTGTATCCTATGACTCAGAGTGACAGAAAACCAACATGGCTTCTCTGGTTTCAAGTAGAACTGTCATGACTTCATATTATTATTATTTTAAAATGCTGTATTTGCTTAAACAATTCTCACTGAATAATACTAAAATTCTTTAACAGAGAAGAGATACTGGTCTACAATAAAAAAAAAAATAAGGTAGATGCTAGAAATAAAAAATACAACAAAGACCACACATCCAATAAGCAATGATCAGGGATGCCAGAGCTACTTGGACAATTTCCTTCATTCTTCTCAACTCCTACACACATACCGGTGCTACCATTCATCCTCTGCAAAAAACCATAAATATACTGTTTTTCCTTTTTATTTTTTGTAAAGACATAAAAATGTTCATGCCAACATGTGCCACAGTGTAGATTCAACATGTGCTAACAATGTAGACATAAGCCCACGTACTCACCTGGCAGCAATGCATTTTCAAGAAGTCATTTAACATTCAGATTCTGCATTTATTTAAGGCATTAAATATGGAATATCAGTTTCTACTCACAAAGGATTACATTAAAGATGTAAGTAAGCCTATTCTGAAGATTGTAATGTGCTATAAACATATGTTTATAATGATAAAGAGGCTTACACAGTCTAGTGTTTAATGGTAAATGAAATGTTAACAAATTCTCTTAAATATATGTATATATATTTAAAAAGCTTGAAAATATTGAAAAGGTTTACATCATAGGCCATAATGCCAAGATAAATAATTGTGAGTTCTAGAAGTTAAATATATTAGTTCTGGTAATATGCACCTACAAGGAATCAAAATATAATATTTAAAGGAAAATACAAAAATATTGTTTTAAAAGAGGTCCTATATTCTGGGCTGAATTTTAAATTTAGCATATCTCTTCATTAAATAAAAACATGTTGAGATATTCCTTCATTTTAAGAAAACCTGACAAGAAAGGCGTTACTATAGTTTATGCTCCATACATTTTGCATGATGCCAATATCTAGTATCCTTGAAATTAGCGGTGAACTTATAATTCATATAGCACTAATTTGCATACAAATTTGACACATACAAAAGCTTAGTGGCCAATATTCTCTTATTCATTCTAACTCTTCTTATTGGTATTTTTATTTTTTGGTTTATAGTAGGCACTCTATATATAAGTGACACAATCCATAACTTGAAAAGGTAAGAGCTATTTCAATATATTGAGAGAAGAAAAAAGGCTGTAAAAATGACAATAATATAAAATTCAAATGATATGCCATTTAATAAAATAAAATGCATTTAATACACAGTATAAAATAAGGAAGCTAGGCTCCAGCTACAAAAATATAATTTGGTGTCTTATTAAGCTAAATTCCCTAATAGGAAAATTTAAAGTATTTTCATTGTAGAGAAAATGTTTATTGTCAATTTAAACCTACAATGTTAAATATAAGCGTCAATTCAGTTATATATTTTTGTCTTTTAGAATTTCTTAAGGGTTCATTATTATTCCATTTCTGTACATTTTCAGTAACACATCAAGAAAGATTATTTAAAAATAGAGAATATGTTGAGGTATTTTCTGATGAATACGCTTGCCATACACGCCAAGAATACTTAAGAATCTGGGGCAGGTTTCAGGACCAAGACTATAAACAGTGCTGTCGAGACTGAAAATCTAGATAAGCAGGACACTGAACATAGTAAACATAAGAATGCTTCTGATTTCTGGTAGATAACAGTAAGCACTTACTACAATTCACTTTTACGATGGTGTTATACCAAATACAATATTTAACACGGACCCTCCAAGCAGGTTTGAACTGTACTGAAGTAGCTGTCTCAAAGAAAACCATAAAATGATCCCATTCTGCCTTTTATATTTGCAGAAGTGATTTCTTTTTGCAAAAGAAGCTATGCCAACCCCTCAATACAGTACACAGGAACTTGCATGCTCCATCACTGAAAAATCTTTGAGATGAATTTTAAGTACAACATCAGAGTCAAGCCACCTGCCCTACCATAAAGAAATACCAGCAATCTGACATATCAATAGTATTCACAGGTGCAGATATATATTTATGGGACTCTATCAGCATAAATCCAATGGCTATGAATAAAACATAAAGCATCACTTAACTCTACAGGGACTCAAATCCAACTTTAGAAGCAGAGCAGTGCTAAACCCCTTGCCACTGATGGAAAAAAGTAAAAAAAAAAAAAAAAGCCACAAAATACCAACAATCACAACAAAAACAACACCTCCATAACAACAATTTCTTTAATATATTATGTTCAAGATTTCATCAGTCTGTAAACAAATTCACTGTAATGTTTATTTCCAGACATAGAGAAATGAAGGTCATATAAAATTTCTAAATTTTCAATGTTACCATAACTTGGCAGGTGCACTCCTTTGCAATATGATAGATAGCAATGTACAGCGGGGCGCGGTGGCTCACACCTGTAATCCTAGAACTTTGAGAGGCTGAGGTGGGCAGATTGCCTGAGCTCAGGAGTTCCAGACCAGCCTGAGTAAGAAGGTGAAACCCGTCTCTACCAAAATGCAAAAAATTAGCCAAATGTGGTAGTGTGCGCCTGTAATCCCAGCTACTTGGGAGGCTGAGGCAGGAGAATCGGTTGAACCGGGAGGCGGACGTTGTAATGAGCCAAGATCGCCCACTGCACTCCAGCCTGGGGGACAGAGCAAGGCTCCGTCACAAAAAAAAAAAAAAAGAGTAATGCACATGATGATGAAGCATACTTCCACTGAGACAATAAAATATGTAGGCCATGATATCTGAGGTCAAATGACATCACCTCCAGTACCCACTTTCCCCTGCATTAAAGAGGCCGGTCTACATCTTATCAAACAGTTAAATGTCAAGCACCTACAGACACTCTGATCAAAAGAACATCTTTAGTTTTTGGTGGTGAACCACAGAAGACACTAGGGATCCACTGCAAATACCCACATTCCAAGTCAAACAAAAGAATATACAACCCAAGAAAAGCCAGCCCTTCAATAGCCAATGACATAAATGCAACATGACGTGAAAGAAATTGCAGCACCCGCTTACAAAACCACTTCAGACATCATAGGGAAAGAAAAAGGTTTTTACCCACCTGGGATCTTTCTGAATGCTATCAATGGACGGGGACCTGGCCAAGGTGCCTTCGGGCGGGAGAGCAGGGCCGGATTTGCTGTACGGAGACTCAACAGAGGGACAATACTGCAGCTGTCGGTAGGGGTCCGCGTAATTGGAGGCCGGGCCTGCGGCATAGCTGGCCCTCTGGAAGGTGGCCGCGGCGGCATTCTGCGGGCCATGCTGGCTGCCTGTGCGCTGCAAGGGGACGGAGTCGACACCAGGGGAAGATGGGGCTACGACAGGAAAGTAGGGACAAAGTAACAAATTGAGGACCTGCTCACAGAAACGGTTAACCAGGTCTAGGCAGGGGCGGGGGAAGTTACACACATAAAAAATAGGGGTTCAAAAGAATAAACAAAATTAATCCATCATATTTAAACCAATGCAGTCCATGTTATCCAATCAAATGATAATCAGCATGCCTCAGAGACAAACCTTTCAGGTATGGGGGGAATGCATCTGTTGTGTGTTCTGTTACCCACATCCAAGAGAAGGTGTGTGCTCAGCTGCAATGTCAACTTTGCGCAGAAGTAAAACTCAGAAGAAATATAATGAATATTTTCTAAGGAGGCATGGGAAGTTAGTTCTTTGGTGCTCAAGTTAACAACGTTCAGAATGAGTTCAGGTAATGTTACATTAACTTTATGAAGGGTGTAAAACAAATTTAGTAATGTAGTTAATTTTCCTGAATCAAAGAAAAGAAGAAGTAGTGAGAGGGAGTGCATGCATGCGGGTGGAGGTGGGGAGAGGTGGGGTTCATGTCTCCAATTAGCACCAGAACATTCAATGCAGGACTGCTCTAGCTGCTGTAAAGTAACTCCCGAAAGATTTTTCTATGCCTCTTTTTCAAGTGAAGCTGTCACAGGAACAAACACATTTGGTGAAGGGAGAAGGAGGCAAAAACCAACCCAACTGCAAGGCAGACAAAATAAGGAGCTGACTTAGCTTTTCCGAAAGTATTTGCATCTTTTCAATGTGTCTAAATTGTTTTGAGAAGATTTTACACTAGTTACTAAAATCAGTTTGACTATTTTCAAATTGAATTTCAATTTTCTGTTTCCTTCTTGGATTCTTTTTAGATCCTTTCATGTCATTATTTTTATCTAGTTCTCAAAATATATTTGACATCCAAAGTTTGGTTGACACATACAATGAAAATAGCAGTTATTAACTGCCTTAGTGGCTGATAGCCATGATCAAGAGTAGACAGCCCACTTGATTTCTGGGGCTATACAGCAGATTTCATATCAACAATACAGCCTGTGGCTAGATAGGTCCATTTATGCCACAGATGCTCTATATGGAATTAGGTTCCAATTATCAATTACACTTCACCACCCAGACTTCCTGACCATTTCTTAGTGGCCAATGATACAGCTTATTTTATCCTCTTTTACAATAGGGGACATATGCCAAATCAGACACAAAGGAAATTACATCACTCTGAGAAAATAATTATCAAAAGAGGTAAGGAAATTGTGTTGAAATGATGAAAAGTTGCAAAGTGAACTGGAGGAATACACTGTAATACTGAGATTGACTTAAGAGTTCGGGGCTTTTCTTTGCCAATGAACTTTAAATACTTCATCTTAGAATTACAAAAATTTAGAAAAGTAGGTTCCATAACATGACAAAAATGACAAACACATTTAAGAGAAACTTCATACACAAAAAGCACACATTTCCCAGAGGAAAAATATTTTGAAATAATGAAGATTTCCCTGATGTGTTAAGTCTCAAAATAATCAGATTAGGCTAATAAACATTAATAGCACTGTCGGAAAATCTGCTTTATGTCTTTATGCAAGTATTTGAGGATTTATCTTTTCTCCAAAGTATTATCAGCACGTGTAATTAAAATTCACATTTTAAAATTTATGCAGTGTGCCTTAATTATGGTGAAAGGGGTTTAAAATTTAGGCAAGTCGTACTCTTGGATGAACAAATGTAAAGAGGTAAACAAAATTTCATTTTCTACGGGTTGTGATAAGCTAGTCAGAGAATCCAGGACAAATGGAGAAAACTAAGAACATCTGGCATTTTTCATAGATGTGCATTTTTTTTCCATTCAGGAAACTAAGCATCAACATTTAATCTTGCTGAAATGGCTTTCAGAAAAGAAATGCTCTTCTATAAAAAATTATTTGCTATTAATATATTAAATACAATGATTAAAGTGTCAGAGATCAGGAAATAATATTAAAATCTAAAGAAATCTTTTTGTAAAAAAAAAAAAAAAAAACAGAGTAGGTAAGGAGAACCATTTGACTACCCACACAAAAAACTCTCAAAGGATCATGAAGTAAAAAAAATATATACACAAGAAAGAGTTTAAGAAAAATACTGCCAAGCAGCAGACAAAAAATTGTGAATAATGTAAGAGGGACTCATTCAAAATGTGAAAATAGGGTGAGAAATTCAATTAATTAAGCAGAAACAGGAAGACAACATCTTGGTATGCACAGAGGAAGAAAAGGTAGGAGAAAGTTTATGAATGTTATACTGTTCCTATTTTGGTTTGTTTTACATCTTAGTTTAAAGAGTGATATCACTATTATGAAAAAGAGGTTGAGATATGAAATCTAAGATGAGCAAACAACTTTCAAAAAGATTATGTCTTTTAAAAAAACACAATCACATGTGTAGTTTCAGCCTTGACAATTGGCCTTTTAGAAATGTCATTCCCAAATCCATGGTTTAAGCTTCTTTTAGGTCATAATAAATAAAACAGCTGATGAGAATTTCAAAATATAAAACTGGAATCCAAATTGGTGCTGTTATAGTAAAATAAGTTAGAGACTAATCTATGCAATTAAAATAATGTAAAATACTAGTAAAAATGGAGAGAAAAACACACTGTATTCAAGGGCAGGTTATATAATCATAAAAAAGAAAATGTATGAGAATCTAATGGATCTCAAACCAAACATTAGTAATGTAACAATATAATACCTTACTTTGTAAAAGTGTATATAAAAAACAATTACTTTAAATGAATGAAAATCATTAAAAATCTAATATGTAGAGAACATTAAATAAATGAGCTCTTATTATTACCATTAACAACTTTGAAATCAATCAATATTAGAAAACAGATATGTGCATATGGCATTGAATAAAATGCTGCAAAGATTCAGGGTTCAAGTCTCCCATCTGGTCCCAACTATTTAGACCTTGACGTGGCTTATGTAACCCTTGGCTCTCTGTTAATATGGATAAATTAATATCGGTCACACTATTAAAAGACTTCCATTTAATACATTTTTTTCCCTGAATTTCTGGACTGTTGAACACTTTTCCTTATTTGCGTTTTACAGCTCAGTTGACCAAACCATTCTCCTTGTAGGGTTACTCTACCCAATTGAACCTACTCAGGGCAAACACTAGAGACGGAATGTGCTTCAGCAGCTCTGTAAACACACTCCTCTCTCATCTCACCTGCTCTGCAAACAGCCCCTTCTCCCTCAATAAGCTCTTAGAATTCAATGAACTGTATCAATGGTGGCTTTGGGAGATTTAACAAGTAGCCACTTCAGCAGCTGACTTGATACTTCAAAAGACACCTATGCTTTCATGAAATTATCTGTTTGTTTTCTGCAGAGCTGCACAAATAAAGACCTAGTTTATACAGGAAAAATAAAGAGATGTTTTATGTTTCTATGCTATATTTGTTTGAAAAAGGGGAAGAGGCATTCTTTCATATAAAGTTAAATATTCTGCTTTATAATAGATGATTACAAGCATTATTTACTGACAATGGAGAAAAAGAACAGAATAAAATACAATAATCTGGGCACACAGAAACTTGGTAGGGGGAATATAAAGTCATGTTCAATAAAGAAGAAGAAAAAAACACTACTTTTTGGATTATTTATCTTTGCCTTTAAGTATCCTGCATATACAGATAAATATGAAAACATAAAGCACATTTACACATTATGGAAATATAAAATAAGCATATAAGAAAGTAATTAAAGAATGTCCCCCTGAAAGCTCAGAAAATAAGAATGGCTTAGATGACAATGGGTCCAAGAAAATGGCCTACATACTCTTAAAAGAAATTCACCTCCATTTCTTTAGGGATGGGGCATCTTTAGCACCCGATAAGGCATATATCCAAGAGAGTCATCACCAAGAACTGAACTATAAACATTTTCCAATTTTCTGTACTCAGCACAAGCTGATCCATGCTAAATTCAATGGAAGCATACTCAAGGGCAAATTTAAACATATGAAATTTGAAATAATTTCATACATTACTATCTTTGTGGGAGAGGAATTTAATGCATGATTCTTAGTAGTAATAAAATAATTATCATTGGTGTTGATCTTATTTTCCCTGCTTTGATTGGAAAATAAGACACTGAAAACACCAGGACAGGTCAAGCATACCTGTCACATTGGTTTTCAAACTGAATGTGGGATCATGTGCATGAAGATATTGTAGATGTATTTGAAAGAGAACATGATGTAAAATCCTACTCTTAAATAGTTTTCAGAGTTTTATTCTTGTTATATCCTTGAAATAATTTTAAAAGGAAAGCTCTTTATTTGGATAAATGGCTAATGCATGTGGGGTTTAATACTGGGTAATGGGTTGACAGGTAAAGCAAACCACCATGGCACATGTTTACCTATATAACAAACCTGCACATCCTGCACATGCACCCCAGAACTTAAAAAAAAATTCAGCCCAGGTACAGTGGCTCACACCTGTAATCCCACCACTCTGGCAGGCCAAGGCGGGCGGATCAGAAGGTCAGGGGTTCAAGACCAGCCTGGCCAAGATGTTGAAACCCCGCCTCTACTAAAAATACAAAAATTAGCTGGGCGCAGTGGCAGGTACCTGTAATCCCAGCTACTCGGGAGGCTGAGGCAGTAGAATCACTTGAACCTGTGGGGTGGAGATTGCAGTGAGCTGAGATCAAACCACGGCACTCCAGCCTGGGCAACAGAGTGAGACTCTGTCTCAAAAAAAAAAAAAAAATTCAAGATGAGGTATGAGGTACTATGATCATGTTGGAACTTTGAATAACATTTTTATGACAGTGGTGACTATACCTATCTTAACCAATAGCCTTGTAATGGGCAGAGAGACTTTTATGTAAGTATAATTTGAAAAAATGCAAGCTCCTCATTACGTCTTCATAATATAAATAAGCAGCTAAAAAATGATTAACAGAAAGGATCCTGTTTAATAATCAGCAATGGCTGCTACTAAGAATGTTATTGC